ATATTTTGTGTGGCTCGTCGGCTCGGCAGTATTTTTCAGTCGGCTTTGTAAAACTTCAAGAAAGCGTTATCTATCGACTTTTAATCGGCAACTTTTCGGAATGTGATATATCATGTCTCTAGAAGTTTCTATATTAGTTGGCTGGGCGGCTCGGCAGTGGGAGTTATAAGAACGAGAAAATGAATTGATAATGTCTCTAGCAATGTCTATTTAACAAACCGAATTCGCTCTTCTATTGAATTCGCTTTTCTTTTGACCATGAAGAGCGAATTCGATTTGGTTTTTAACATAACAAGGCCGAAAACAAAGTAAAACTTTCAAAACAAAATCGTTTGATCGGTCTGTCCTATGATCGACAATTTTAGTTGGCTCGGTTGTTCGCCGTCTTGGTAGTGGGACTTATAAGAACGAAAAATTCGAAAAATTCATAATAACTCAAGCAGTATCTAAATATAACTTATATTACGCTCGGCAGTTTGACTTGAAGAATCCTAGTCAACTACAATCCTTTGCGCCCTTATGTTATTGTTTACATACTGGATATCACATCCAGGGCACTCTAATCCAGCGTGACAAGCTCGTGTTGTTGTTCGCACCGTGACTCACAGTCGCTCCGCATGACAGTTTCCTGCATAAGAAAAAATTATAATGGACTCAATATGTGAAGTAGATGTAGAGATGGATTTGAGAGACCAAAATTTTTACAGCTTGAATTGCGAAGAGAGTTCACACAATTCACGTTCATCTTCAGAAACAATCGTCGCTTCGAATGACGAAATAACGGTGAGTAAAATTCACCTTTATTTGAAGCCATTGATTACTGTTATCAATTGAAGCAACAAAAACTGATACAAAACTGCTGTACATGTAATAACACTTGTAGTAGAAAAACAACGAATATGAGGCAAGGCTGTCCTTGTAAAACCGCTCAAAAGTACTGCAACAACAATTGTAAATGTGGATGGACACATGCTTCATGCAAAAATAAAACCCAAGAAACATTATGAAAGTCAGTCTGAAATCCCGACAAGTATAAATAGAGTGGTAAGTTTTTGAAGTTTTTACAGTGATTGACATTTTGAATAACAATAGAGTTTTTTAACACAGTCAGTGATGTGAAGAGTCAGCTTTTGTTCGTAGCTACTCCGGATACCTCTTCATTTTACGAACCATTGTTGCCAATGGTTCAGAACCATTAATATAACCCAAGTTAAAGCACGAAAAAATGTGTTTTTTCCCGAGCTTCCAAACTCCAAAATAAAACTCTATGAGTAAAATGAGTGTCTTAAGAGCGGCCGTCTGTAAATATCGACCGAGGCCGTGCAAGATCAAAAAATCAAAATCCTTCAAACTTTGTCATAACATAGGCATTGATGAGCTATTACTATCGGTAATACTTTAAGGTTTGTCAGATTTTTATTTTAGACAAAACGGACGACTTTTGATTTCGGGCCAAATTGACCGGTTTTTCATGCCCAAAATAGTAGTCATTTCAACGCGTGTAACTTTTGT